GGGTTATGATGATAGTGCAGGGAAAAGTCATTGAAATAGATGATCAGCCACAATCATGTTGAATGGTGGAGCAGGCTCGACTGGCTGATTAGCCTACTTCTATTCCTATATTCCTATGAATGGGATTAATTATTTTAGAAATTAATGCACTCACTGATTGTATGTTTAGGTGTTCAGTTTAATACTGTTGCATGTAATATTAGTTGATAATTTTAAAAGAAAATACCTAACACATTGTTATAATTTTAACAATTAATGTATCTATTAAATGCAAATCTCATTTTGTTCTATGTTTAACACGTTTGCCAAATCTTTATTTTGGGGAATTTGACCTATGTTATAGCTATTAATTAATATTACCAACTTACAGATACAAAGGAAGTCAAAAAACAGAATATATTAAAAGATAAGGAAAGAATTATTGAAGAAATGGAGTCAGTCAAAGCTAGCGCTATTACATCACTTTCAGGAGATAAACATAGTAATGGCACCCAAAAAAAGCCAATTAAGATGGAACGTTCCCGACATCCTGAACCACGTATTTTGTCTGCTGCTCGAGTACAACCAGAATTAGGTCTCGAAATTCTGAATAAGGATTTACAATTAGGTGACAAACAGGCAGAATTAAAAGAAGAGATATTGAACAAAAACTTCGAAATAAAGAACAAAATAAAGAATGAGGAATTAGCCAGGAACGAAGAAAGAGAGAAACTAAAGCAATACAACATAGCTAAGTTATCTTCAGGTTCACAACGGCCAGAGCTGCCTGCTTCAGGAAATGAAGAAAATACTTTGGGCAGACTGCATAAATTGAAAGAAGCTTTAAAATCACTTTATCACTATGCTTCTCACCGAATCGCAAGTAGAGATGCTGATCAATTTGCAGTTAAACTTGAGTCCTAAAACAATGAAGCATTAGTTTGAACAGGTCAGAACAGAAACATCAAATGTTAAATTTTGATGTAGTAATGATCACAATGCCAAATAATTAATTTTGTTGTGATTAAGAAGTAATCCAAAAATAAATTGGGGCTAGCATTTAAGTAATGGTAAATTGATTTTCTGATGCTTTATGGTTGTCAGCCTGTACATAATACATTTATCCACACTACAACATCATTGGAAAATTTTCTCTATGACAAAAATATTGCTGTTTTATATATAAAAATAATTGTAGCATTTTTCTTATCCAAATGTATCAAAACATTTAGAGATTTGCCAACAGCTTCTAGTTTAAGCAATTAATTATTCAGTGCAATAAAGAAAAAGCTTGAAAATGTCTCACTGTTGTCATAGAAAATTTATCAACTTGATCCAATTTCCATCAAGGAAATAAAGTTCAATTGGCAGAACTGAATGCGTGCTCAAAAATATCAAAACATGGAGACAAGGTAGAAACACATAAAGAGGCCAATGCATCAAAAACGTGAAAGATGGTAACTGTGGGATCAAGGCAACATGGAGGAATGTAAGGTCATGGAAAAATGAAAGAAATAAGGTATTCAAAAAAGCCTTCCATTCTTCATTACATAGAAGAGATTTGTCCATGAGATCAACTGTGAATAGAAATACATTTTGTGCATACTAGATTTATGTAATTTAAAGTTTAAAAAAAACTGAAAAAATAAAAGGTGAAGAATACATTTCAAATAGATTGAACTCAAATCCCATATATTTATATTCAGAAACTTAAGTTACAGATTTCCTAAAAGTAAATTTAGTCATGAGCTAATGATTAAATGATATAATACCTGTTTGGAACATTTAATTGTTGAACATGTATTAAGTGATAGTTTCCACATTAATGTAAAACTACAGAAAGATTGATGATAATCCCCTCAATTTGCAGTTTAAAGATTTATTTTTGTCCTCTTATGCAATTCGACATCTGATTCAGAGCTTTTTTTTCCATGAAGCTGAGCATCATACCTAATCTTGGGAAATTTGTTCATGATTTATGCTTGATTGTACATGTGTCGACTTTTTAGTCATACTTTGCACACATCATTGTAAGTGGTGTTTGTGCTTTCAAACAGACTAATAAAGCTTAACAAACAGCAGCATGTACTTGTGTTTTCAGTGATTAAGCAACTGTTGATTAGAAGTTATTTTTCCAAGAGAAATGTTTGAACAAAACCTCACATTTATAAAGCCCTTTAATGCAATAAAAGTGCAAAATGGGAACATTTTAAAGCAAAGTATAACATTAAGCCACATGAGCTGTAAAACCAAAACCTTAATCAGGAGCATCTTAAAGAGGGAAAGAGCGCTTGAGAGACGGAGAGAAGGGATTCCAGAATGTAGGGCTCTGAAAGATGAAATTATGGCCACCAACAGTGATTCAATTAAAATATTGAATGCTCAAGTGGCCAGAATTAAAGAAGCACAAATACCTCAGGGCTGGAGGAGATTATAGAGATAGGGAAGAAGTTGAAAATAAAGGTGAGAGTGCTAAAATTGAGTCATTGATCACTTGGGAGGCAATATAGGTCAGAGGCAGAGGGATGATGGGTGAATGGCACTGGGTGCAAGTAACGATACCCAGGGTAAGGCCATGAGAAATTTAGGTGATCACAAGCCTATGGTGAGTTGAACGTAGGCGAGTGCTTAGGAGTATATTGGAATTGCCAAGTCTAAAGGGAGCTAACACACAGACCATGATTTCAATCACATGGAGGTGAGGTGTTCTTGGTAGATATGTTAAAGTAGCTGATCTTATTAGTATCACAGATATGTGAGAAGCACTTTTTTGGATCAGATATGACATCAAGTTTGTTCAGCCTCAGGAGGTTGACAGGGACATGGATAGAATAGGTGAATAGAGTTTCTTTTGAAGACAGTGGATTTGATTTTGGCGATATTTAATTGGAAGACATTTCTACTTATTCAGGACCAATGTTGAACATAATTTCGAGACAGTGGATATTTCCGAGAGAGATTGCGGTGAAGTAGAGCTGGGTGTCATGAAAATGCTATTTTTGGATTACTTTGCAAGGAGGCAGGGGTCCAATGATAGATCTAGAGGAGCATCACAGATGACTTGCACAGGAGTAAGAAGTACAAACATTAAATGTGGCTCACAGGCTATGATTAGCTCCATAAGAGTGGAACCAGATGAATACTTTCTCTCCCAATGGACAATGGTGGAGAGCATTCAAGGGGAATGACGTGGCCAACTATACTCAAGCCTGCAGACAAGTCCAAAAAGACAAAGAGGAATAGTTTACATTTGTAACAGAGGTTCCATTTATGACTTTGATAACATCTGTAGCAGGGGTAGAAACCTGATTAGTAGAAAATGTGTGGACAGATTTAGGAAGCTTTAAGTTTTGAGAAGATTTAGTTTGTGGATGAGGTTGTAGACTTGCTTGCTGAGCCGGTGTGTTTACTTGCAGACGTTTCATGACCCTGCTAGGTAACATCGTCAGTGCGCACCTAGCAGGGTGATGAAACATCTGCAAGCAAACACACTGGCTCGGCAAGCAAGTCTACAACCTCAGATTTGGGAAGCAGTGAAGTTTTCAAGGATTTGAGAAAAAAGGGAGGTTAGGAATGGGGTGATAGTTTGCAAAGATGATGGGATGAAGAAGTTAGTTTTGAGAAAGAATTGACAACAGAAAATTTGAATGAGTGTTACAATACTGTATCTGAAAAGAGACGGTAATGTCTGCTGCAGCCAAAGTGGAGGAGTTTTTATTAGGAATGAGTACATTTTGCATGTTGTGGTCAACTAAAGTGGTCTGCTCTTAATCAGGAATCCAGAGGATGAACAAAGAACAGCACAGCACAGGAACAGGTCCTTAGGCCCACCAAGCCTGCACTGACACATGATGCCTTTCTCAACTAAAAGCATTCTGCCTCTATGGTGGTCTGTCAAAAGGTCTCTTAAGCATTGCTTTAGGGTCAGCATAGTGGCTCTGTGGGATCTAGGTTCAATTCAACCCTTGGGTGACTGCCTGTGGAGTTTGCTCATTCTCCCTGTGTCTGCGTGGGTTTTCTCTGGATGCTGTGGTTTCTTCCCACAGTCCAAGGATGTGCAGGTTAGGTGGATTGGCCATGCTAAATTGCCCATATGTGTCAGGGATGTGTAGCTAGGTGAATTAGTCATCGGAAATGCAGGGTTACAGGGATAAGGTGGGGGGGTTTGGGTCTTGGTGGGATACTCTTCAGAGGGTCAGTGTGGTCTTGATGGGCCAAATGGCCTGCTTCCACACTGTAGGGATTCTATGAGGATTCTATTCTATGATCATATCTGCTTCTACCGCCTCCTCTGGCAGCGCATTCCAAGCACTAATCACCCTCTGTATAAAAATCTTGCCTCTCAAAATTCCCCTTTTATCTTAAACTGATGTCCCCTGGTAATTGACATATCTACCTTGGGAAAAGAATCTAACTGTCCATTCTGTCCATGAAATGGATAATCAAATGCAACTGCCCTCAACGGTTACAGTGCCAGCATATCAATTGTACCCAAGTAGTCACATTCCAATGAAATATCTTGAAATTATTGGCTCCAAGGTACATTATTAAATGATTGCTACCTAATGAATACTAATGAGCAATGCAGCAAGGTGGACAAATGCATTTTATAATTTTCCCCACTGGCACAAGCCAACCAAAACAACCATCACGTTCTGGCATCTTGGTTAGCTGCACAAGTGAAAGGGTGGATTGCTGGCAGCAGTATTATGCTAAGGCTCTATCATTAGGGTTCTGCTTCAAATTCCCTGAACACCAGCTGACAATTTTGTGTCGGAAGGCGCATTGGCATGCTCAATACCCCAGACAATAAGCATTACCACTGTGCACATATCATGTTGCTTGTAAGGAACTGCCCTTTGAAACCACACAGGATGCAGATTGCCATGATAGTTGGACAGAGAGGCCGGGGGGAAATATTGTGAGATGATGGAGGCATCTCTTAGGCATTTTGGAGCAGGCTGACAGTGCAAAGGTCCAAGAGAAGCATAACTATCTGCATGATATTACTGTCTCCACAGATTTCCTGAAAGCTACATCAAGTTGGCATAGATCGACCCTGCCATTCTTCTTGTCAAACTGTTCCTCAGAAGAAACAGCAGGTATCAACTGTTTCAAGACCTACATAAGCAAGAGACAGTAGTGGCTCTGGACCAGAGTAGACACAAACATCATTGGGCCAAATTCAGGGGATCACTTGGGCAGGGATGAGCTAGAGGGCCAGGAGGAGGTAGAAGTTGAGATGACCCAGGAGTCACCTCAGATGCCAAGATGACAAGACTGTGGTCAAACAAGCCAGAGAGAAATTTGACAATGAAAAACTCACTGCTTCTAAGGGAACTGGGTTAAATGGACATGTTTCTTTTCCTGGGATAGTAGGAACTGCCGATGCTGGAGAACCTGAGATAACAAGGTGTAGAGCTGGATGAACACAGCAGGCCAAGCAGCATCAGAGGAGCAGGAAAGCTGACGTTTCGGGTCTAGACCCTTCTTCAGAAAAAGGGTCTAGA